TTATCCCATTCAGAGCACTGTTACAGTTACTGCATTCTGTTTTAGAGTCTCTCAACTCTCTTGCTTATGGTTCGGCACAAATGAACGTACACGTGCAACATCAGTAGCGATATTGGCCGCTAATTTTGGATGTACAATTGGCTTTATAATAACGCCATATATTGTTAGTACACCTGAAAATATTCCCTATTTGCTATATCTTCATGTTGGACTATCGTTCATTGCATGTATTTTGACATTTCTCTATTTTCCCTCAATACCGCCTACGCCACCATCACCGGCTGCCGAATTAATTATTTATCAGCCAATACAATCAAGAGAACGAACATCTGTTGCAATGCGGATTAGAAATTTCATACAATGTTTATCTTATCCACCATTCCTTCTGTTATCCCTGGCAGGTAAAGCATAATCATAATCAATTTTCTTAAGTCTTCATTGTATCTTCGTTTAGGTGGTTTGCTAAATGGTACATTTGGAGCATGGACCAGTCTATTTGCTACTATCTTAACTCCAATGAATTACACAGAAAGTGAGGCTGGTTGGTTTGGCTTTGTGACATCGTTGTCGGGTATTATTGGAGGTCTCAGCATCAGTGTAATAGCTGATAAACCAAGATTCCAGCGTCGGTTAAAATTATTAATTATAATTTCGCTCTGTTTATGTCTGCTGAGTTGTTTAATGTTTCAAACATTTGTTGTCACAATATTTTATGATAAACCATTATTGAAATCAAATGTATTCGTCATTTCTCTTACATTAGGTAAATCTTACCAAAGATGTGTGCGTTTTTGTTCTATAAACACAAATAACGATTGTTCCATTTAGTGTTTGCGCAATTTATTTCTTTGAAAACAACTTTTCTAGCCGAAATATCATTTTCATTTGTTTAGGTTTAACTGGTCTATTTCAAGGTTGTTCTTCTCCGTTGATTTATGAATGTTTGGCTGAAATTATGTTTCCACTACCTGAATCCTTATCAGCATCGGTTCTTACCCAATATATCAATATAGTGGCATTGGTTCTCCTATTCATTGCACCTGGTCGTTTCAAACTAATGAATTTAATCGTGTTGGCTATGATTTCTGTAACGATTATTATGACACTCTTTGTCAAAGTGACATATAAGAGAAAAGATGAAGATGAGCGAAAGAAGAGAGAAAAAGAAAGACTTATTATTGAGCAGGATTGTCTCGGAATAAACAATTACTATGAAACAATATAATCTTGTCTATCGATACGTTATGTTTTGTGAAAAAATATTATAAAGTCCTGAGAAGGACATTCCACTATCTTAAAGTCTTGAAAAATAGGAAGCGCCAGTTTCCTGTATGCGAAAATCCTTATACCCAAGATTTTTGATTACGAAATGTCACAAGATCTTGGGAAAAACACCAAGAAGTCATTCTTGAATCTTGCACTCAAGATCTTGGAACAGAAATTTCTAGATCTTGGGTGAATCCAGTCAAAATGTTTCAAAGTATTGTAATGAAAATTTTTTTACATTTCCTTTCTTATGTGACAGTCATAACCTGAAGTATGTATTTTCTTTTTCAATACTTGTGGTGATGTCTGTACGACAAATCATAAATCATATTTAGAGCTTCAAGGCAGAGAATGAATCAATCACTGTTATGTTAAGTTATGCTTAACATTTTTCTACTTAGTACAAAACGACCAACTCGCTGTAACAGATTAAGGGTTCGTGTTACAAGATTTTATTTTGATAGAATGAAATGATATGCATACGGATATAAACAGTTGACATCAATCGCTTATCTATCAGCCATCGCACGTAAGCTACGACTTATGTTGTTCAGACTCAAAAATAATAAATTAAACCGGATTAACTAATAACGCCTCCAGGCGTTTTACTCACTAAACACCTGAGAGGCGACGAAAGCAAAAGTTTTGGTAAAGTTCGCATGACACATCACTAAATGCAGTTTTTGACGCTGAGCATAAATCTGACGTTAGTTTTTGATGAAAAAGGTTTTCTTGGGGCGAAAATCGGGTGTTAATGGTCAAAACCCCGGCTTTCCTCGGAACTTAAAAATCTCAAATTTCTCTTTTTATATCCTTATACAATTGACTACATAATGACGCAAAGATATCCAGAAAAATGTTTATCCTCCCGTGCATGATATAATCAGTTAAAACCAGTTAACTGATTCAGTTAGCTGGTGTGCCATTGAATCAGTTAACCGATGGCTACTTACTAAAACACCAGTTAACTGTTATATGACTTTAACTCGTACAGCTCTAGGATAGGATAGGGCTCAGAAATTTTTCATAAGGTAGGGCCAGGGCTTGACAAACAGTTACTCTGCACATCTCTAGTACTAAGCACATTTTTGCATTGAATAAACTAATAAGCCGACAGTATCGATTTTGAATCTTCGTATTTCGAATTCTATATGATTAACAAACAAAGACTAATAAATATATCTATTAGAAATACTTTTACTAAAACGACCATTGTATCACATGGATGTACCGTTCTAATTCGATTAGAAAATTTGAGAATTATATACCTTATACTGTTAATCAAATTAGTTCATATCCATTGTAAATAAATCAATTATGATATTTCAAATTTCAATCAGATTCAGTCGTCCTGTTTTTAAGAAAATTCGGAAGGTCTCAGCCACCTATCTACACTTCCACCCAGTTTTGATCATAGATATTCACTCGTCTAACCTGCTTCCACTTGTTCATTTCATATTTTTAAGATAAAATTCTCTTTTAGATTGACAATTTGTTTTATTAAAAAAAGTACAAAAAAAGCAAACAAGTAACTTAGCAAGATATCAGTAAACGAGTGTGAGCATTATTGTATTCAATACCAACCTCTAAAAAATATTGAATCTTAAAATAATCTATTAACCAAAATTGAAAATCTTCACTAAAACTTCCTGTTTTTAGTAATATGATGACATCAAAAAAATTTTTCATTTTTCTTAATAATAACGATAATAAAATATAGATATCACTAATATTATTCAACTCAATCGTTAAATAGCGTAAATTTTCAAATACATACATTTTTTTTAATATTTTTATATTGATTCGCTCATCCCCAACAATATGAAGTGTTAAACTGGTAATGTTTTTTGTTAAAATAGAACACAGTTCATTATTTGTAAAATAATCTGTTATTCGTAATAGAGCATCATATTGTATTGATAAAGAACTTAAATTGGACGCTCCTTTCAATAATAATTCCAATGATTTAGGATACAATTTATCGTAAAGATATAAATGTTTTAAATTTGCTAATGGAATAAGTTTAGGTAGATCATGGAGAATTGCTGAACTATTATCATAAGACGTTAAACGACTATATAGGGATAACGATTTGACATCTATGAAATAACAAAATTGTTCTGATTAAAATACCAAACAAAGTAGATTTAAATAAGTTGTGAAGCTATGCGCGCATATGAGAGAATGATACGTTGAAAATGATATCTATCATTAAGAAATCTACTTAGTCAGTATCAATTTAACTATGAACAATCTTTTATATAACTTGAATCAGTCGAAATGTAGAAAGACTAGAAAGTGAAAATTTGTCAAGTAAAACTCTATAGAAAGAACACATGAGTTAAGCTAGAAACATTTGCTTTTTTTTCTCTCATAAACGTCTTACAGGATTACTAAAAATATTTCCTTCGACTTACATCCTTGGAATTTTGTTGCGAGGTTTTGGATACTGTTGATCCCCGTGAGAAACTTTTGAAAACTAGTTGTCTCAGATTTCTGCGAGACCACATGGACCAGCTTCAGATTTTTATACTGTTTCTGAATGCCGTACAAGTGACATCTTCGTGAAGAAAATCGATTTTTACTGGATGGCAATATCATCCATTATAAGTATTTTCCCAAAAGATTCGAGTTCAAAAGCATGAAAAACCACCAGTTTTTGTTTATAATTTTACTACGGTAGCTACATGGAAGATAAAACCAACATGAAAATACTAACTTCTTACGCGATCAACGGCGTCTAAAACCTCGTATCAAAACTGCAAGGATCTAAGTCAAGGAAAATGTTTCTAGTAATCCTCTGAGATGTTTATGAGAGAAAAGAGAGCAAATCTTTCTAGTTTAACCGCCTCCATGTCCTTTGCTGGGAAATCTAAGAATTTGACGCTTTCTTCAATCCTCAAACCGTAGACCACTTTCTCGTGTCTTTCCCAAAAAGAACGAAAAAGAAAGTGTGATAAAACTTTCTTTTGTGTGTCTCTTTATGAAGAAAGTACTTTAAAGCAAAAACAAGCTTATGTTCATGATCAGCGTCGAAAACTGAATCGAGTGATATGTTTTGCGATGTGTTTTTTTTCTTTCTGGAACAGAACAGTAGGAAAGGAAAGTCAGTTTTTACTTTTCTTTTTTTGGGAAAGTAACGAAAAAGTGTCACTCCTATAGCCGCCAAGAGTCGACAATCTACCAGTGAGTTTCAAAGATTTTCACGGATGAGGAAACTTTTCGCAAAAAATTCCACCATCGAAAAGAAATGATAATCTCTACTTCTAAATCTGTGATATTTTTGGTGGCTAATAATCATATGGTTTACTGTGCGAATGTAGAGTGCAAACAGATTACTGATTCTTGTGAACATAGAAACACTGTTTTAAGTTTTAAAGAAATATTATTCATAATTCAATCATTTCATAGTTAAATTCATGAAGATATTTGAGCTAGTTTCTCTCTTCTTAAACGATTCAATACCTCGAAGTCAAGAGAAACTAGCGTCCATATTTGATATTGTTTACTTTCTTTAAAAAATAACTATTATTTGTTCAACAGTCGTATAAATCAAACGTCTGTTTAATAAACGTATCAGCTAACCATTTTACTTTTATGATGAAAACTTTTCAAATATTTCTATAGCTTTTATATTTTTAATGTTAATAGACGTTCGCCTGCATACAAGAATAGATTATCAATTTCTGAGGGACATTCTCAAACTAAAGAATAGTGAAGATATATAAATCTTTCTATGAAACAACTGATTAACTTTAATGTCAAAGAGTGATCTAAAACTCATCGATATAAGATGATAATATTATATCAATTTTGAGTTACTAATCAATAATGAAACAAGAAATACTTAATCAAATTTATAAAAAATAATCTTACCTGAAAATTGACGTAAAATTAATGGTAAATTAGAATCATTTAATGTTATATTTAATGAATCAATTTTTTTATATGCTTTTTCCATTGTAATTGATGTTGCTGTTGATTTTGTTTCTATTTCATATAATTGTGTTTTAAAACTACCTTTTGGACGCGGTATTGTATACAATAAAAATTCATTTGGAGACGAATGTTTATAATCTATAGTAATATACCATTCATGTTCAAATAACCAAAAAAGCGCTTGTAAATGATCCAATTATATTATTAAGATTAATATTAGCTCTAAATCGTGTATCAGCTATATCTAAACTAAACTGTTCTAATAATGGTAGAAATGAGACAATCAATTTTTCCCAACGAATACCATCGGCATATGAAATTAACATTGCTAAATAATAAAAAATATTAAAGTTTTGTTTAATATTAAAAAAAAAAAGAAAATTAAATAGTTAAACTATACCTGAAAATGCTAATTTTTTCAATTGTGGAATATTTTTTAATAACTGTTCAGTTTCATCAAATTGTGTATGTGTTACATTTAATTCTAAATTTGTTAAATATGGAACATATTGTCCAATATTTTCATATATTTGATAATCAATTGGATCATCAAAATTTCGTCGATTATATACATGAATAATTAAACGTTTAAGTTTTGGTAAATGTTTTAATAAAATAACAAATTCATTTATATAACATCCACTCATATTTAAATATTCAATATTACTTATTTGAATACCTTCAAGTAAAATTGAATCATAAAATGCTAATTTTACTAATCTTAATTTTATCATTTCATAATTACAAAATATTGATTCTACTAAAATTTTTGAACATTGTCTTAGATCAAGTTTATCACGACCTAATGATATTATTTGTAATTGTTCAAGATATTTTAATTTTGATAATTTTTCTAAAATTAATTGTAAATTATCTTGAGTTGGATCACGCATAACAAGTAAACGAAGATTAATATATAAATCAATTTGAAATAATTTTTGAAATTGTGTAATACGATCATAAGTATCGGATAATTTTAATGAAATAATTTGAGATAAACATTTTGGTATAACACATGTACAATATTGATTAAATAAACGTTTTGATAAAATATTTCCAATATCAATTGGTACTTTTAAAACATGAATTAATTGATTAAAACGAAAATTTAAATTATAGATACATTGAAATAATATTCGTGGACTTAAATATTGAAAAATATCAAGAAGAATTTCATTGGGAAGATGTTCTAATAGTGAAGTCATTTAATTCTAAAATAAAATTAAAAAAATTGAATTTATAAATGTATTTTTATATCAACAACATATAGTGTTTGTTTTTTTTTTTTTGTTATTGACAATCATTCTGACGATGGTACAGTTATGAAAACATCTTTATTTTCATATTAAAATTATCAACTTCAAAAAATATCAAAAATATTATTCGTTTTAAAAGTGTTTTACAATCAATACGACAGAACATGATACCACATGTTTTACTCTATCGAACATTAACAGTAATCGTGACTAAAAATTTGTAAAATATACACACATAATCTAAAATAACTAATTCGTTCAAATAATTATGTGCAATGGAGTAAGTACTTTGATGTCTATGAAAAATTCTAGTAAGTTACACATGAAAGAGAAAAATAATAACTTTAGAATTTTTTTTTCTTCTGTTATTGCGGTTGATATCTGAAGGAAGAAAATATTTTTGATTCTTATATATCGAACGAGGTATACTTTAACGTTAAAAATATAAGGAATTTGATTAGAAACCATACAAAAAAACCGTTATTCACTGACAAACTAATATTTTGTTGACAGAATATGTCTCAACTATTCTATTTAATATCTCGGACAAACTTAGATTACACAAGCCGAACTGTCAAAATCAAATAAAAAATACTGTGATCCTCGTTAAGTAAAAATTATTAAACTCAATTGTCAACGAAAGATAAGTCATATGTATTTCTTCTAAGTCTCCCACTTTTCCCAATAGATGAATTTAATGATCGAACCATCCAGTTTTTCTTTCAAATACCAACAATTTAAAAGTGCAAAGTTCAGTAATAAAACTGAAGTCTATTCACATAAGAAAAAACATAGTTTCAACGTTCACTAATTTTTTTTGACTCAGTAACACTGAGTTGCAGATAGGATAATTTGATAGGAAAACGTAGATACAATGCAAACTGGTTACATATCATTCATGTACATACTGCAATTAAATTTTAATTTCAGCATTAAACAAACTAAATTACAAAAATACTTCATGTGATGAATCACTGTGTTAAAAAAAACAAAAATCACCAAAAAAAAAACATTTACATGTAAAAATTTTGTAAAAGAAGATTGTTAAGTATCACGGGAAAAGACGTTCGTGCAGTAGACCCAACTTGGTCGAATACACTGTGTAAATTGCGAATATGATAATAAAATCCGCATAGCTCTCAGATGCAAAGTATCATAAACGGATAGGTTTTGATCTCGTTTGTTGAATGCATTCAGGATCACATTTCTTTTCATTCAAATTCAGTAAAGTTTATATTTATTTACTTATTTTCAATTTTAGTCTAATAAAATGACTTATTTTTAAAAATCAAATTCGAGATAGATCACGCTTTGACCAAACCAAAACTTAGTTTAAAACATGATCTGATCACATTATCCTACAAAGTGAATAAAAATTGTTTACTGTAAATATGATAAGATGAGTTTATTAATGTCATCATTTTTTTAGAATTTCTAATAAAAGTGTTAGTAAGAAAATCTTCTCCAGAAATGTTCAGCAAAGCAAATAGTTTGATAACTTTTTTAGACTCAACATTCAATAATTATTTTAAACTTCAACTCTAAAGATGAAAAATCTACTCAGTGGAGTCTGCTTATAGAGTGAAAACACAACAGACGAGAACAAAACTACCCGTTATAAAACATAGATCTGCAATAGTTTATCAGCACAGTGTACTATATCAAGACGGCTCCGCTACATGAACGTCTCTTTACGCGACACTTGACCACCATCTTTCGTTAGATTACGAACAAAAAAAGTGTACTTATCGCACCTTAAAAAAAATATCTTTTATAAAAACTGAGATCAAAGAGAACAAGCTCTGTCTGGGTTTAAGAGATAATCTCGCATAATAAAGAAAAATACAAACAAATACATGTCATGTCAAACGGTACAAAGTTAGAGAAACATCCAAATACAAAGAAGTCCAGGGAGATATTGTAAATAAAACAAATTTATAGAAAAAATGGCGAATCAGGTGCTAGGTTTTCACTTAACAGGATTGGATCGCTTGTTATAATAGTAAGAGCTTGGATTTCTTGACCCGATGGAACTAATGGTCGACCAGATGCAATCGATTCACTAAAAAATGAAAGAAATGTGTATAACAATTTATACTAGAATCAAGCATCATTCTGCGCATCTCTGAAAAAGAACAAAACAGAAATTATATTTTTCTGTTGTGTGACTCTTCTTCCACTTGGGTATAAAGTACAAACTAAACGTAGTTTTCTCAATACGAGTAGAGAAAATACATGACAAAAAAAACAGAAAATGACGCTGAAGCCACTTAGTTGGATTAAGGTCAATGTCAATATAAATATTTTCTACTAGTGACTTACGTATCAGACATTTCATTTAGTCTGAGATAATATGCGGCTCGAAGTGCTAATAAATCAGCATATTTGACGGGTGCTGGTATAGACACACTTCTTGTACATCGAGCATACGTGTAGCATAGAGCATACGTTAACATTTGAACTTTATCGGGTGTCAATCGATTATCATCATATAAAACATGATAATGAGTTGGACGACTTGTTCCCTTAAGAAAGTAAGAATTATTTGACAGCTATGAAATTGTAGCAAAAAGAAGAGATTTTTAGAAATTTGCATACTTTTAATGTGTTTCTATTTGACAAGAACAGTCTCAAAGGGTAATAACAACAACTTATGTAACAAAGAGATTTTTGAGCGAAGAAATTATATGCCAAGTATATGGTGTTTTTTATCAAATGAATTTAGCTTGCTGACGTGCAACAAATTAAAAAATTATGTTCTTGTGTTACCTACCAATTGTCCATAATGACTGTTTAAAAAAAAATCGTATTTAAAAGGATGTGTAACGTCATGTGAATCAACCACCGTTCCAGCTTGAACATTTTCATTTGTACCAGGAAAAAATCGTGTTCGATGACGTTTTTGTACAACAATATAGGTGATGTATGGTCGATATGCTTCGCATATGCGAACACATGCTGTTCGTATAGAATATAATTCTTTTTCAAACACAGAATCAAATTCACTCTCTGAAATTCCATCACGATAGAATACAATTGCCCTTGGTGGTGATTTACGATATTTATAATATTGTAAAATTAGTTGATGCATAATATCTTCCAAATCGACAATATATTCCCAACTTTGACCTTTGGCTTGTGGTGGACGATGTTGAACACGAAGCTGTTTGAAATAACGATTTGGTATATCATCAGATGATGCCACAACGGCTACAACAGAATCACGATTAAGCGATCCAGGTGGAGCATGTGAGAGATCAGCACCACAATACATAATATCATGTCCAGCAGAAAAAAAATTAGCAATAATACTATCAGGGCTAGAAATAAAAAATGTGTAAAAATGTTTATAAGATTATGACATAACGTACAGACGAACTTACTCAAGTTTTAGTATGGAATTGGTTCCATTTAATTTTGGATTAACTTTTAATAATAAATTTTTAATAAGAGAATGATTCCACTCAGTTGGATTTCTCTTAGTACCTTTTCTCGCATTTTTCCTTTTTAACATTTGTGTCACGATGCCAAAATCTAATTCACACAAAGATTTTAATGGTCCATACTGATGTTTATTATTATCCATTAAAATAAATAGAAGAAATTTATAATCAGCAGTCCTCTCCATAACTTTTTTTAAGAATTGGCTAATCTGATCAATATCTGATGAACAACGTTCTTGATGATTCCAAAATTGTTCATATAATGATGGCGGTGGGCAAGTGATTCCACGTTCTTTAGCTGTTCTTGCAAATACATCATAAAATGCCTCGCAATCGCTTTGAGATAAATCAGTCATATTGATCATACCCCATTCAGGAAATGGTGTCGGTTTATAAAACTCTCCTATATCACGAAGAACAAAATGCAATTAATATAAAAAAGGTTTTTTAAAACCACTGTATTCAACTTTTTAGTCTCATTTTATCATTATACCTTGAGCCTCCCATACGCCTTTCTTTCCACGATTAGTTCGTTCGGTAACTTCATAGTTTCTAGTATAATGTATTGTGGGCATTGGTAACACACGTGCCCATATAATTAACATATCAGCATTAATATTTAAATTCCATGCTCTAACAAATGGATCTTCCTCAAACTTTTGTTCTTTACCTCGTACGTAGTTTATTTGTCGTATACGCTCGAAAGGTTTTTCTGATGTCTTTTGTGTGATAGTTGCACGTTGATCATCATTTATTTTTTGCACACGAGCTGGTTCAACATCAACAAGCTCCATGGGTAAATACGCATTATTTTTCATTTTCAATACGGGCAGTTGATGATAACTAAAAGAACAAAAATATATGTTTGATCATTATTATCCTTTAGAATCTCTCCTATTCACCGCAAAGTGTGACTATGGTGCTCTCGATAATATTCTTCTACTGTACTCTCTTTTTGTTTTATTTTCCAGGGAAATGTTTGAATCGACGCTGATTGTCCAAGTGAGTCGATGGTATAAATAATCTTTTTATCTGCAAGATTCGCTCGAACTCTCATGCCTATAGAAACAATATCAAAAACTCATAATCAAAAGTAATCAGACAGAGTAGCCAACGGCCTACCTTTACAAAGTTTAGTAAGAAATTTTAGTTCACCCTGATAATATGCTTGATTAATTACTGGATCTAAATAGTTTATGCAATCTTCTATTGTCACTTTCTCTATTCGTCTTCCTCTACCATCGTAGACTCCACATGGACTTTTCACCATCACTTCACGTAGAAAATCAAGAAATGGCTGTTTCTTCAAAAAGCACGAGTGACTAACGTCTAAATTCACTAATAGTTTATGATTTCCTTTTGAAAACATTAGACATGAATAAAAACCACGCCACAATGCTTTGCCTTCACCAAGATCAAAAGCATTTCCTACAGTTGGAATTGAATAAAATGCACGTTTACTAGCAAACAAGGCTGTTGACGAACATTGTTCATGTAGTACGATAGATAATACTTGTTTTAAGCGTTTGAAATTCTCGGATTTTTCCTGTAACGCTAATTCTGCAAAATCAATTGGTTCATCAGTTAAATGAATTATAAATTTAAAATTTTCCTGTTTGCCATAACGATTAAGTGCACGTACGTTAAAGGTCATTGGCTAAGAAAAAGAAACAAGTATTTAGTTCGGAATAGGCAGAATACAGAGTTCTTATCAAATTTTGAATACAATAAGTATTTATTGTGCCTTATAAAGTGGCTTAAACTTAACTTACTTTCTTATCGATGTCTGTCAATCGATCTAATGATAAAATAATGCTATTGTTATCGAATACGATTCGATATTCGATATTCATATTCATGTTATGTTGCATTATTTTTTTCCAACTATCGTATATTGCCCTGTTAAAACAAAAAAACTGTTTCATGAGCTAAAATTTCGATTAATTTATACAAGTTGGGTTCGTACCTTCTTCTTGAACTTTGTAATTCAACATCTTTTGCACTTTTAATATCAACATGATACTGATATACGATGCCTTTTTTTGGATACTGTGTTACTGGATAATAATTGACCATCACTTCTATAGCCTGACCTAATTTACCCGGTTCTTTTGGTTTTAATGGACGAACATTCGTTAAAAATTGATTTGAAGTTAATTCTGACACCATAAATTTTGAACTTTCATTAGCAGGAATAAAACAAGAACGACCAGGTTTCTTAGATATGACTGATGAGGTTGTTGTTGTTGTTATTTGAGAAGTAGTGACTAGTGTGTCGTTGACTGACGTTATTTGTGACTGACTGAACAATAAAAGCACACATGGTAAATAAATACGAGAAAAAAAACCCAGTGAGTTCCAGATAATAGGAAACGGAAATTTCGAAAGCTCCTCTCGCGCATACTCACTTTTGATGTGTCGCTTACTAAACTTTATTCATTCACATCAATAATTCTACGCGACTCTAAGGGTTTTTTAACAACTAACAATAGCTTATGGCACTTGCTGGAACAGAAGTTTGCAAATCTGAAAATCATACTTAGTTGTTGTTACAGCTCTTTTAGAAATATCTAATGTGTCATCGTCGATCGTTGTTATTTCTGATTGGCGAACAGGTATTGTTATTTCTGGTTCACTCGGCGGTACATCTCGTTTAAATTGTCCTCGTCCACGTGGTACTAAGCTTTTTATTGCCGTAGTAGATTGTGTAATATTCAATGTTTGTATTGACGATGCAATACCTTCATCAGACGATGTAGCAGGGTTTTCACTTGTGGTTGTGACGGGTGTTAATGATGTATTTGACAAAGAAGGCGATGGAGGAGCGATCGAAGAGGAACTTTGTCCACGACCACGTCCTCGCCCACGACCTATCACCGGTTCAGTCATTGCATTTATTCTCAACGGTTATCTAAAACAGATAAAAATATAAGAATTTTACATATCTACAGATAATTTTTATTACTGCACAACTCTTAAACCAGAAAATTTTCTTAATTTTAAGTTAATATAGTTATTTGATTATTTTCGATCTGTCAATTTATAGTTTTATTAAAAGTTTCAAATTATATTCATTTGGATATGGTTCAATTTTAGTTACACATCATCACAACAAATCGAACGGCAGAACAATTATAACCATCCTAGAATAAGCTGCGAAATGATCGCATCGGTATCTAACTTATGAGCGGCGTATTTGTATATACCTTATAATATAATACGAATGTATAAGAGATTTTAATTATTCTTTTCATTCTTGAATTTTTCCATTAGAGTATTCCTTTCCATTCGTCTTTCTGTCATTTTATTTCTTAGATATGGGAAAAAATAATATAAAACCAGTTGAAACAAAATTTTACAAAAAATATTTCCATGCTTTTATGTTAAGGCATCGTATTATGGCTCTACTAACGTCAAAAAACGAAGGAAGGAAAGAAAAATTCTCTGATGACTATAAACGAAAGAAGTATGTAATTTTCTTACGTTTTCTGTTGTACGAAATTACGTACAACAGGAAACGTAAGAAAATTACGTATATTCCATGCCAGTCACGAACGAACGACAAGACAATCGATATAGCCGTACTGACAAAAATAGGAAATTTTCTTTCGTTTCGTAGTATTTCGATCCATCACTAGATATAAATGCCCGGAGAAACTCAAGCTTTGCATGAACATTTTTACCAGTGAATATTACTTACCTATGTATAATCTGCTTTTTTGTGATTGACTGTTTAGAATAAAGAATAAACAAGAGATAATAGAATAAATGAGGAGAACAGAAAAAGAAATCAGAAAAGCTGAGAAAAAACCCACAATACAAATTTTCCATCTTACAGAAATGAGACCGATACTACTGTAAAGTGGAAAAACAAAATATAAAAATACTTTTATAATGAATACCTTTTCGTTTTCATTCTCAAGTTAACAAATTTCGCCAATCCGATCTTTCACTGTTCTATCGTTCTTGATGTAAAACCGTATGTAAAACCGCATTATTTATTTATTTATTAAATTTAAATCATACCTTATATTAATTTCGTGCTGTGTTAACGCGGTTGATGATTGTCAAAGTTTTAATAACCCAGTGCAGAGAGGCAAAAATCCAGGAATAGCCGTTACAGAAGGAAAACAAAGTCGATTTGTTCTTTTTCATCTAATCAAAATTGGCACCTCAAGTAACGTAAGAAAAAAAATGATGCCCTGTTTTGGTATGTGGACTGAGGCTAAATGACTCATCCCTTCTATAACAGATTATGCACTTTGAATATGTGTCAGGTAAAATGAAATTCATTGGGTGAATCTATTAAATTAAATAAAGTTTTTAATCAGAAAA